TTATACGAAAAGATAGATAGATAAGTAGATAGATAGAGAGAGGAGGGGGGGAAGAGATATAAAAAAGGCAGATAGAGACGTATAGATAGATAGATAGTGAGAGGGGGGGAGGTAGATAGATAGATAGAGAGAGGGGGGAGATAGATAGATAGATAGATAGAGAGGGGCAGACAGAGAAACAGAACAGAAGAGAGAACAAGCGAGAGAGAAAGACAAACGGAGATCAAGCAAGCGAGAGAGGGAGAGAGAGAGAGAGAGAGAGAGAGAGAGAGAGAGAGAGAGAGAGAGAGAGATCAAGCAAGCGAGAGAGAGAGAGAGAGAGAGAGAGAGAGAGAGAGAGAGAGAGAGAGAGAGAGAGAGAGAGAGAAAGAAAGAAAGAAAGAAAGAAAGAAAGAGAGAGAGAGCAAGCAAGCAAGAGAGAGAGAGAGAGAGAGAGAGAGAGAGAGAGAGAGAGAGAGAGAGAGAATAGGATAACACACACACTGAACTTCCAGAACAAGAACGAGAACAAGAACGAGCTCCAGCGGAGACGGCGAGGAGACAAAGGAGGGGGGGAACACGAAGGGCGTCAGGGGGGAGGGGGGGGGGAGGGGGGGCAGGCGGAAACAGGATCACGCGGAGCTTATCTCGCCAAAATATACTACAGGAGGCGTTCACACGGCCGCGTCTCTCTCTTAAAGCTCACTGGCAGGGTACCTGTATCTATAAATATTGTCATGTCGGTGTCTACTCATCTCTCATTTCCACGTACGCACACGTACTTACATGCATACTTACATAAATACAAAGACACAAAACACACACATATATACAGAGAGAGAGAGAGAGAGAGAGAGAGAGAGAGAGAGGGAGGGAGGGAGGGAGGGAGAGAGAGAGAGAGAGAGAGAGAGAGAGAGAGAGAGAGAGAGAGAGAGAGAGAGAGGGGGGGGGGGGAGGGAGAGAAAGAGAGAGAGAGAGAGAGAGAGAGAGAGAGAGAGAGAGAGAGAGAGAGAGAGAGAGAGAGAGAGAGAGAGAGAGAGAGAGAGAGAGAGAGAGAGAGAGAGAAGGCGAAAGCGGTCACACACACGAAGGTATGTGTGCGTATATTGCTGCCATACTTTACTATAGCTCTATATCAAGCCATATCTTTGGCCATTGTTCCTCTTCAAATAACGACAAGATACTCAGCGTGAGTGTTCGAGTCTCACTGTTCTCTCACGACCGAGGTACTTAAACTGAAAAGTGAAATGAATGTGCCTCTGTCAAGTCAATTAACATCTATCTGTCAGTCAAGATTCGGCACGAATACTAATACTAAATTGCGAAGAAAGTTGAAATATAATTTGGGTCATTTCAGATGATAACACGTTGCAAGCTGCAACATCACTTCTCAAAGCAGGCAACCTCATGCTGTAGCATACGAAAGCATGTAAAAGTTTGCAATATCGACAGATCCCGAGCATCACGTTGGCCGAGACGTGTCTGGCCGCTGGTTAACAACAGTGCCACCACGCAACCACTTGTCACCCGTTCCACACCGAGGATGCCACAACATAGCACCACTTGATAGGCCTCTCCTCCCCTCACGCCTCCCCGCTGAGCACGAGGGAAATATTGATACTGGAAAGGCACCTCTTGGTTTCGAGGGCCTCTGGGTGGAGTCCGCTGTAAATCCTCCTGCAGATACCCACTCGCTGTTCGCCGTCATCACGTCTGTGGCGAGAAACAAAGGGAGTCGGCCTCGCGGTGCGTGTCAGCGGCGGCCGCGGTGGTAAAATTAGTTTTCATAGTCTTTATTCAACAAGTGGACACACAAACTCCTTTACTTGTTCAAGAGGAGCATGACATTGCCGTAATTAATTCCCTAATTGCCTTGAGGGCGTAATCGGCTGGGCACGCAAGGTGCGCCGGGAGAGGCAGCCAACCTCCTCGCTGTCTGTTCATCATCGTGACAGTAGCAAGTTCTTTTGCGCGTTTTATCGGCAGACATTTTCTATTTTTTAAAGCTGGCATATCCTCGTGGCGGGCGGAAGGACTGACGCAAAAAGGGGTGCACATGGCGGGGACGTCCATTCACTCACACAGACATATGCAGCGCACAATCACGCTCGGACACACACACACATGTACGTAAACACCAACACACGCTGACACGCGCGCACACACACGAACACACGCACAGCGGGTGAGACAGAAGGGGCCCCAGTCGACTGCCAAACGCTGCTAGCCTCCTAAACTGCTGACTTGTGTCGTACTTTGAACCCGGTCTTAGTAATGTGCGGCATCCATTGTCACTCACTGCGTCCTGATATTCAAACTCGCATTTTTCTGTCTTTTCGCACCTCTTTGGGGCTGTGGAGGGTGGGTGTTCGTGGAAAGTCTTTTTCACTCATCTGTTGTAACCTCAGGGACACCTAGAACGCGAACGGCTGGGCTAATATGGTGTAATTAGATCTTCTGATTATCTTGACTTTATCTATGACTTATCAGTCCTGTTGGCTTGAAATACACCGACAAACGTTTTTAGAAATCGCACAAGACGTACTGAAACTAATAGTTCCCCTCCCCCCACCCCCCCTTCCTAACCATTTAACAATTGAATTCGCCCAAAACTCCGACCTACAAGCGAGACCGCAATCACCCCTCGCCACTTTGCGCGAAATGCCCCGACTTCCCGGCAAGAGCCTCGATTGCCGGAGTCTTTAAATCCCTCGCTAGGCGGTGCCCGAGCAGAGCCAGCAAAACGCCAGCGATGCCCGCTTGATTAGGCGTTTGTTGAAGGGGGGAGGGTGGGGGTAGGGGTAGGGGGCAGCGGGTCTAATCATTCGACATCGACAGGGGAAGGAAGGCGCAGGAAGGGCCTCCTCCTCCTCCTCCTCCTCCTCCACCCCTCCAGCTGCCAAATGCTTCGCCTCCCTCGGCCTTGCGAGTCGCTGCTCCTTCACTCGTCGAGGGGGAGGTTGTTGCGTGGGGGGGAAGGGGGGGAGGGGGCAAGGGAATGATTTCGGCCACTGAGTTGACCTGGAAGAGCGTCAAGATAAGGCAGCGGCGACAAATCAAACAAAAGTCCGGGGAAGGAGGGCAGCCAGCGAGTCACTCAGCGCCCCTTCGCCGCCGCACGATAACTTCCCCTTCGCGCAACACCTCGGACAATTTATGCCTTTTCCACGCTCGGCGACGATCACGGAAGACGAATGCCGTCCTGTCGCGTTCGCAAGGGCGCAAACGTCGGTGGGGTCGATTCACGTAACGCGTTTCGCCCCAGGGGAAGGAGAAAGAGGATGAAACATAATGGTGATTATCGTAGGAAAGGTGGCTGCAACGGAGGCGACGAGAGCGACGGTCCGCCGGTCCTGGTGTCGCGCCCGGCCATGGCGTCTCTTTTATTTCTCTCCGTCTCCAGGGGCGATTCCCCTTGCTAACCCCCCGGAGCCGTGCCCAAAGGCCCTCCCTGCGTCGACCCAGGCCCTCGAAACCGCCCCCCCGAACCCCGATGGATCGTGCGGGGCGAAGGGTCGTTTCCGAGGGAGTTTTCGCGCATCAGTCACCCGCCTCCGCTCGCCGCCGACCCCACTCGCTGCTGATCGCTCGCCGCCGCACAAGGGGATCCGGCCCTGTCCTTATGCGCTCCATGCACCCTCCTGCGCCTCATTCCGCGGGGGCCGAGTCGCCGTTCCCTCTACCTCTCTCTGCCATCGCGACCCCAAATCCCCCGAGCCGAAAGGAGGCGCAATAGGGACCGAGGCGAGCGCGGGCCGCGAGGAGATTCAAAAGGCGCGCGTCGGGGAGCGGCTGTGGAGAGGAGTGCGCGGAATAATGGCCGCGCGGAATAATGGCCGCTCCCTCCCAACTTTGACAACACGCCGTGCCACTTGTTCAGTCTCGGGTGAACCTCGGAAGTGTCAGCACGGGTCGCTATGACGTGGGCCGCACGTGCCAGTGAAATGGGTTATGATGAGTTTATTACAAAGCCATAAGAGAAGTTGGGTGTACAGTGAGGAGAAGAGTGTGAAATAAGTAGAGAGTGGAGAGGAGTGTGAATTAATTGGCCAGAAAATACGAAAGGAAAAAGGCCTCTCGCTCCCTTGGCCCCAAACCATCACTTTTTTGGAATCACGTGTTTTGTGTTTGGAATATTTTTTTAAGTGTGTGGTTTTTTTGGGAAGGATTTCGCAAACACCACCAGTGAGAAAGAGAGAGAATTATACCAATAAAAAAAGTTACGAGTGAAATAAAAGGAGAGAGAAAAAGGAAAAAAATATCTTCATAGGTGTTGATTTTATGGTGAGTGTTTTCTGCCCTGTTTTTTTTCCGTTTATTATTCCTCTTAAATCCATTATCCTTTAATTTAAATTACTTCTTTTTATTATCTCTTCTCTCTCGTTATACCCCTTTCTGAAGTACAATTTCGAAAGGCGATTCATAACGAAACGAACAAGTGCTTCCTTTTCGCTTTACGTTACGTTATATTTTCTCCCGAAGTTTTGTAGTTTTTTTCCCCCGAAGGAAGTTTGAGAAAGAAATGGAAAAAAAAACTTCGCGATATTATTTTTTGGGGGGGAATAATTAAGGAAAGATTATTGATATATTTTTTTTCGGGCCAATTCCTGGTTGGCAATCTTTTTTTTCTTCTTAAATTTGGACGAGATAAAGAGGCCGTTTTGTTTGCGAATTTCGTTGTGGCCAAAAAACAAAAACAAAAACAACAACAACAACAATAAAAAACATTCATATAAGAGTATTTTCGTGTTCTTAATGATCTAGTTTAGTACCATCATCCTTGTGGACTTCGTTATACTTGAATGTGTGTTTTTTTTCTAATTTACTTTTTTTATTATGCATGTTCCCCCGGCGATTTAAACAAGCGAGTTTTGTAATGGAGAACTGGAAGAAGAAATATTAAAAGTTTTCGTCCTCAGATCAGCGTGGAAGGAAAGGAGTGGATGAAAGCAGCCTGAATGGACTCCCTACTTTGGGTGTCTGAAGTTTTTAAGAGGTGGGAGTGTATGCAGTATGGTTGT